ACCAGCAGGGAAACTCTGTCCGTTTGCTTAAGTGTCAAATCCCGTAAAGAAAAATGGAGCACATCTTCTGGACCTGAAAGAGGCACAAAATACTGGTAAATCAGCTGTATGTGGCCTGATAGAAATCCTAAGAATAGTTCCTAAAACCTTTCTTAAAAAAACAAACAAACTATTAACTAAACTGACTATTGTGTTCTTTAAATATTTTTTTTCTTTACCATATGGTTGGACCCCAAAACACAGCTTTTCCCAGTCAGTGACTGTGATCTCTTGGATCTCATTCTCCCAGTCTTCTTCCTCTTGTGGTGGCATCAATGGCAGCATAGAGTTCTCCGGACAGACGACTTCAGTCTCTCTATAGAAGTTGACAGATCGACTTCAACAACTCAAAATGAGGCCAATTTCTTCTTTGTAGTGCAACAGTTTTATGATAAGGCAAGTTAGCCAGATCTATTTGCTTTCTCACCATAAGCTTAGGAAGGCTAAGAAGGCAACCAGCGACTCTAAAGTTCACTAATTAACATGTTATATCTTCTTTGCTTAGTCTGTCCAATGACCGACATGTAAAAACAACAATTTGTGGTTTTACAGGAGGTTATGTGCAGGACTATCTCTTGGCCTAGCTGTTTTCCCTATTTCCAGTCTTTATGCTCTAAACAAACCAGCTGCTGCTGCTGGCTGTAGCCTTATACATATATATATATACACACACACACAGATATGTATGTGGCACCACTCATTACATCATCTTCTCAGCAGAAAAAGGGAGTATTTCCCAAAATGTCAAACTTTTCCTGCACCAATTTGAATTGCACCACTCTTGCATGCAGCTGTATACTCCAGCCTTGTAACAGCTCATATTTCACTTATATATAGGAGATTGGACAGAAAGGGGTGAATAATAATGAATGAATGATTGAGCATTTTGGACTGAATGATTTATTCAAAAAGGTAGAAGGCTCACCTCTTCTTATGTCTGAATTTCTTCTTCCTTCTCTGGTTCTTCGCTGCTGGTGACGGGGTGGATCTCTCTGGTGCCATTTGGCCAGAATTATTGGGCACAGCAACAGTGTCTAGACTGGCAGCCCCATTGACTGAGATACAACGTGAACTGTCTCTCCTGATGACCCTGCCAGCTGCTGAGGGATAAGTCACAGCTGAAATCGCACTTCCTTGTTTCCCGAGTGTCCTTGGGAGCGCTGCTTTTGTACGCTTGCCTTTGTGCCCGTGGTTAATATAGCCATTAACCATGCATTGTGGTTTGGTACCATTTGGTGTGCCAGCTGGCGTGCTCTCACTGGTTCTGGTGGCAGTAGCTCGGTAGCCATTATGAGCAGCGGCTCCATTAACCAAACCTGTGGCTGGGGCCTGACCGCTGACCAGACCATTTGCTCGACAGGTGTTGCAAAGTGTTCCTCTTCTTCTGCCCTCGAAGTTCATACCAGTCTGAGGCATCGCGTCACCTGTAATGTACAGATGGAAGGTTTGATAAAAGTCATCAAAAAATGTAACTAATTAACTATTTTTACTGTAGAACTATAGAACATTGATATGCCATCAATAACTGTAGATATTCATGACAATATTATAATTTGCAACTACTGGGTCATAAAATTTGGTACATTTATGATCCCCAGAGGATAATCCCTCTGGGAGTCCCCTGATCTAGGCCTCTTTGTACTTAATACATCTGGGTTAGACTGGTCAAAAAAAATAAAACAAAACCAAAATAATAATAAATCCAATTCATCAAACTAACACTTTGGGATATTTTTTAATCTGCTGGAAAATGATCTAAAATTAAAATGCAATCCGTGTGTCTTTGAATGTAGGATAGATAACAATATTCTTTAACATACACTTCCATTAATCTCAATATGTTTTTGATGCACTTGCAAAGCTATCGTCAATAGAGCAGCAAAGTGGAACGAGTCATTTTGGGCACTCAGGGTTATGGAAGTGAAAGTCTTCTCCATTAACAGGAATTGTTGAATGTTAGATGACTTGCAGTTGGAGCACCGCCAAGGGTAAGATCGGTATGAAACTCTCCAAGATGAGCAACTGCACTTCTGTTGTGTAAACCACAAATGTTGAAAAAGATTATGCTTCATAGAGATCCGTAAACACGTTCAGTTGTTTAAATCCATTTGGATTCTGATAAAGTGTTAGATAAATTAGGCAACTATGGTGTCATCTGATGCAGTGACTAGGGCTCATGGGTATTGTAGTATTTGAGCCAGCTGTCATACCAAACTGACAAACATGATTTCTCAGACACAAAGTTGAAATAATCAGAACTTCAACTGATGTTCAAAGTGTTCAAAACATATCAGTGAATCACACTGCTTCACAAAGTTTCATGTTCCTTCATTAAAATGAAAGTGTTGTTTTTAGTCAATTCCACATGCTCCCATGTCAGCACTTCACATGTTTTAATCCTTAACTGAAAATAATTCCCTAAATGCACTTTTTATTCATGTTTGAGTAACTTACTATTTACTATAAGCTACAAAGCCCAGCTGTTTGAGAGAATTACAGGGCCTTCTTTTTTTATTTTTTTAAATGAAACTATATTTTTATGATCCATTTAAAAAAAAAAAAAGATTTATGTCTGCAGTAGGAACAAATACACTGTAGGCCGAGTGCCAACGGACCAAGGCACTGTTGGTTTTGGACTTTTGATTGTTGACAATAACAAAAATACGGTATTTCACCAGTTTCGTCTTTGAGAGGCATCCAGTTCTCATCTCATCCAGTTGTTTGAGACAGTTAGCTAAATAAGGTTAGCTATGTTCCCTGTAAAGCAATCAGATATTCCTGGGTAATATTTACTTTAAGTGTGTGTGTGTGTGTGTGTGTGTGTGTGTGTGTGTGTGTGTGTGTGTGTGTGTGTGTGTGTGTGTGTGTGTGTGTGTGTGTCAACAGATTGGAAGACCATAACTGGTAAGCCATTTCAGTTATTTGTTCTACAGCGGGGCTGGTATTGATAAGATATTTCTTCTCCCTCCTCCTTTTCGATCACGGAATGTGTGATTATTTTAGAAAATATAGAATGAATTTAAATGGAAAATAGCAGCTAAACTCAGTTGTACATTCAAGTGAAGTCAACTAACTTTGGCTCCCCTGTGCCAGGTGGCTGCTAACTTAGCCACCTGCTAATGTCTCCCACTAGCTAGCGACGTGATTGACACCTGACATCGTTCCGGCTGTTGACAGTTAATGTGCTTTACCATGGGGACAATAACGAATCAGTGAACAAAATCAATCCCATAATTTGACAATACATCCTAAATTCCGTCAGTTTAAACTAGCGACCTCTTACCTGTACTGTAGCCCAAAGCCCGGAGCACACCTCCCCCGTGTAGCTCAGTGACCCACGGCCACTGTGGGGCCTTCGAACTTGTGGGCGAAAGATGGCGCGCCCGATAGGGGGCGCAACAACACAAAACAAAAGTCATATTTTTACAGCTGGTTGGGTTTTTACGGCTTTTATATCCAGTTTAAAGCAGATTACCTCAAACGAAAACCTCATTACAGTATGTTCTGACTATCAAACACCAATCCATGTGGGCTTGGAAGCTGATTGTTTCTGTTTGCAGTTTGTTTCTTTGCAGTACATAGCTTAGATAAATGACCCCCAGCACTGCAGTGGAATTAGTGTAAACAATGCATTCAAGGAAGTCATTGATTTTCATTATGATAACTGAACAAAATGGCCAAATGAATGTAAACTACTTGTCCTGTCCATATATGTTTGTGTCCTTTTGTTCTTGGGCTCTTATTCCTGGCATTTGGGCAAATCTTAATGCTAGGTCATTCAGATGGCCCTTTACTGTTTCAACATGACACAAAACAAGGTCCATAAAGAAATTGTTTCCTCAGTTTGATTGTCCTGCACAGATGCCTGACCTCAACTCAATCCAACTCCTGTCGACTGAGTGGTAACAAATCTTTGCATTTAGGTTTCAATTTCTTCTGTTGCAGCAGCATTTTAGTGTCCATCTATCACATATGAGTGTAATATTGGGGTATATAGATAATTTGATAGAACTATGCCTCCTGTCTGTCTATGCCCAAAAATATGGTAAAACAGTACCTGGCATGTTACATTATTAAAACAAATTACCTTGGATAGACTTTGCTTGAATTATATGTTCCAAGTGGCCTGGAGACATAATAATGTGTACATGTAAAGCAAGCTTGTCTAAACATTGGAACAATAAAACCCCCAGTGAGTACTCTGAAATGTGTCATAATCACTGAAAGAAAGTAGAATACACACAATAAAACTGTGATTGTGAATTTGGAACAAATCATGCAATCAAATCAGAAAGAACAAAATAAGTGGTTTCATGTTTTAGAAATTATAGTTTATTATATAAATGGGCATGAGGACAAAAAAAGCAGTTAAAAATTATGAAATTTCATGAGACAGCATCACAGCCAAAGTCATTTTTATTGCCATTTCTAGTGACTACATTGCATTGGATAGCCCTAATAATTAAAATTTTAAGAGCTACAAGAAAAGTGTTTGTGACAGCTCAACATACTGTTGATTTCTTTTTTCTTCTTCTTTTTTTAATCTAGGATGGCACAAGCAGCTATAGAGTGAAAAGATTTGTGAGGCAAAACAGGACACAAGTCAGCAGGTACTGTACTGGTAAATAAGTCGATATAGCTCATAATGCTCACCATTTAGTTTACGTTAGGAAGACAGTTTACAACCATATAAAAAGCCATTTTAAAGCAAACCTAAAAGAAGTGGACCTTCTAACAAAGAGCTGAGAAATGCAACTAAACATCTCCCACTGCATTAAAAAAAATTTTACACTGACAAAATATTCCCAAATTGCTAAACTGGTTTGCGTACCATACAAAGCATTGTGCTATACTGCTTTTCTAATAGGACACCTAAGCAATCACAAGTTCTTCTGTGATAAAACTGTATAAAATAGATTTCATAGTATCAATCTGAAAAAGAGTGGTGAGTGGCACATGAATACAAATTATCACTATTTAATTACAACATTTACAAGTCAAGAAAATATGTGAGACATAGACATAGAATGTACCTCCAAAAACTGTGTAAATCTATAGCAACGTCATCTTGAAAAATGTCCTCAAAAAAGGCACAGACAGAAGAAAACGTGAACCATGCAAAAAGAAACAAAAAGGTTTTTTTTGTGCAAGGAAGCAAAACTCAAGTTTAGAATAATTACATAACACAGCAGATTGCAATTGTTTCCCCTCTAAAACAATGACCTCCTCATTACAGTACAGAATACTGTACACATGTTACAACTTAATCAAGTACAGATTTGAATTCAAAAAGCCTTTTTGGCCACACAGAAAGTGAAATATCAAGTTGTACATTCATGATATTTACAGTATTAGAGTTTCAGAGAGCCATCGGGGCATTAACTACAATCTGCAACCTGTAGGCTTCAATGAGATTGCTAATCCAGTCTTTTGCACCTAAAATTGATGGACGCTCACATCCAGTATCTGAGCTGATTTCACTGAGCATAGAGAGATGATTCAGTAAAACCATGTTACAATGGCTACCAGTCATTCCGATGGAAATCCACCGTACATCCTGTACATTCATATCATTACATTTCTGTGCAACATCATTGGGTCTATTGCTAGCAACAGAGCATCTTTTCCAGCTCTTGCTTTGCTAGCAAATAGCAGCCACAGAAGTTACAGTTTAAAGACACTCCTTGGTTGCAGCTTCTGCGCCGTAAAGTGACACTCATCTGCGACTCATCTGAACCAACCTAAGGGCCACTTCTCAGTGAAAAATATTCACTATTGGACTGATTGACACTGCAAGTGCTGTTTCAATGTTCCTGGAAGACATGTTCTCAAGAATAAACAAAAAACATTAATCCTCACCTTCAATTAACCCTCATAGACTTCACTAATACTCTCCTTTGCTAGCATCCATGGTTTGTCATCTGACTCCCCACCTCTTTAGAGAAAACACTGCTGTTTGTTTGTTTTCAGCTTATAATTAAGACCTTCTTCTTTTCTTTCGCTGACCACTTCTGCCTCCTATCTCACTCTTCTTTTAACACCTGCTTGTCCACGTATGTCACATGCATTCAGAGAACACCTACATGAAAGAGGAGAAGAGACTGGCAGTTTACAGATCGGGCAACAGTGAACTGGCCTGCCTTCATGTCTGTCTCACTCAGGTTTACAGTCTGCTTGCCAACCTGTCCGCGTACCAAACTGTCAGCTAATTTTACATCAGGATACAGTAGAATCCACGTCAGGTTTCTGACATTGTTCCAGTTTTTGTGCCCGACAACATTATGTCCAGTGTACTACATCAAGAGACTTTGTCGATCCTCATAAAGCATGATGAACGCAGGATATTCCTGGGAGGAAATCACCAGTTTTGTCTTGTGAGATCAAAGTTGTAACAGTAACTAGAGTTCACAGCATAGACAGAATAAAAACAAGACAGGGTAGATCGAGTTGAAGAGTCACAGTAGTATGACCTACAGTCAGCCAGCAATCACTGGCTCTTTAGTTCTGAGTAGGATCACACTCAGCCTTCGCTGCAAGAGAAGTTCTCTTCCTGCCACAAACAGCAGGGGGCGATGTATGTCTATTTATATGTCCCCATTTCCAAGACAGGCTCTGCCTCTCTCTGCTTTCCTGTACAGACTCCCAACTCGGTTTTAAGGTTCTGATCAAACAACTGGAATGATCCTCATTCTCCGAGTTCAAGAACGATTCTCATTCCAGTTGAGTCACTGCTAGTTTTTGATCTCCAGGATGGAGGGGTTGTGGTCCAGGATGGACAGGATGATTTTGTCCATGTACTGTCGCAGACGCAAGTTGATTTCCTCCTGCTCCTTCAGGGCTTCCATTAACTGCGAGAAAAGAAATATATCACATTTTCATTTCAGTTTTTTTTTTTTTTAACAATGCACACTATGGTCTTACTAATTGTATTGTTACACAAAAGCTCCTTGGTTGATTTGGGGACCCAATACTTTTGTTGGTACTAGAATACACTATGTTAAATAATGGCAAAATCATAATTCTCTTTGTGGGAGGACTATACAGAAATGCTGCTGCATATAGATTTTATGCTTTCAAGTTATTCAATTTTATGCATGCATAGTTTATTTAGCCTATGTGTGTGATATAACCATGGTGGCCTCCATTTTATGCATAATAGATTCAACTCTACAATAGTGTAATATCTAGAACACTATCATGCTGAGATATGTCCTGGAAATACAGTTACATTCTAACTGCTGTATGTAAGGATCCTATAAACCTGCTCCATATAAGAAACGTATTGGTCGCGGAGCAGTCGACAATGCAGTCACAGAATCATTTCAGAGTAAAATGACCATTTTCATTGTCATAAAAAAATGACTAGTTTAACTGCACTGCATTCTCAGTATGTACAATATAGTCTGTATTGTAGCCTGATTTTACCTGGTCTCTGGAGGCATTATCTATCTCTGCAGCCAGGGACTGGGCCTTGGTCTGCGTGGCAAACAGGTTCTTTGCTTCATATAGGCTGAGGCTGAGGATCTGACCGTTCAGCTCATCGTTCTGCTCCCTCAGCTTCTGGTTCTCCTAAAAATACAGAATCAGGGTGGGAAGGAGAGGAGAGAGAGAGATAGGAAGAGAATGAGAGATAAGTATTTGGACCATGCAGGGATGATAATGTTTTGTTTTTTTTAATGGCCACTACTCAAGCCTCACTCAACCCATACGCCAAAACATTGCACTTGGTACCTCATCTAGCAGCAAACACAGCAATGGGCATCTATTTTGGCAACACCTACAGGACATAACACGGGTTATGTGTGTTACAGAACAAACTGCTCCCCTGCTTTGTCGAGTGTGTTATGAAAGCTCCATGATTAAGTTGCCTTTGAGTGCTGACAAGAGGTCAGTTTGCTTCACCCTTGTTTATCCTTAACCATTAGTAGGGGGACTGCAACACTGACCCCAATTCAGCTTGGGCAAGGTCACTCTACCCCATTGTGATTAGTGGTTAATTGGGAGGTCAAAGGTCACAGAAACAGTTTTACCATCAGACCAGGACGGAGCCAAGCCCCAGACAACACCAGGTGCTGGAATTCAGGGGGAAGAAAGTCCTGGGACACAAATCGCTGGACACACACATACAGACATTTACAGAGCGCACAGGCAAGTATGAGATAATGAGTGTATCCTTCTTGCGGATGTTACAGGGCAGTGTCTGTATACACAGCTTCATAATTTGTCCGACCATGAACAATCACATTGAATTGTTCTCCATCTAAAACTGCTGGAATAAGCTGATATAAAGAAAGACATGAAAAAGTATCTGCAGACTGAAGATCATAAAAACTATTATCATCCCCTTCTTGCTTCCCTGCACTTAGTGTGACAAGTTTGGCCCGAGGCTACAAGGGGCCATGGACCTTATCATCTGAAGTCCCTGATAAAATGCACACACTGTGCGAATCAGCAATTCTCACTGACTGACTATGTATCACTTAAAAAGGTACCTCAAGGCGTGGTGGCTTTGGTAACTTGTCCCCTTTATACTGCCTTTTCTTTTGGCTCAGGAACTTGGAAGCATAATTTATAATTCATTCCATTACATGTGAGTCAGACCCATCTTCTATACAACTTCAAAGAGTGTTAATATCTACTCTCACTAGTCTTATCACAGAGGACATCTGAAAAACACTCATCTACTCCCCTATCTCACATGTTTACTTTGCACCAGGTCCGTACAGTGCAGAGGCTGGAGAGAGTAATGTGACATTTGAGTCTCTAACTATGGCAGGTGGATACACGTGAGGCAAATGTCATTGTTTTTCGGAGAACTGAAACTAAAGAATAGAGACATACAGAACATACTCTATGCCTTCTGCAGCTCATATTCTCATAATTTGTGATGAAGTTAAGCTCCACTGGACTCTGCATTACATTATCATCAGTACATCATGTCGAGTGCTGCTTTCCTCAAGAGGATTTTTATGGTAATGAAAGGAGCCAGTGAGATTGGCTGTGATCTTTGCCAGCCACTAATCCTACTGATCATGTGATAATTTTTGCCTGAACCCAACCTCCTTCAGAGTGTGTATCCCAGGTCCACCTAGCGTCTGCAGCCACAAAAACCAAAACCAAAAGTGGGCCTTATTTTATGAAAGTAGCACACAGTTTCAGTTTCCCCAGGCAGTATGCAACCAATTTATCGTGGTAAATGGAAACCACTCCCTGTAAGAGCAAGGTTAAGTGCACTGAGTTCTGCAGGATAAATATAACACGAGTATGAATCTATGAACTGTATCATCTGAAACTATCTGAATCATTGTGCATGTATGTCCTCCAGGAGCTTCAGAGTTGGTTGTAATATAAGTGTAATGTAGTGTTTCTGTACTGCAGCTGTGCCATTTTATGGAAAACACGGATGGTTGGCCAAAAATGCAAGGCTCTACTGTAATTTGGTCATTGTGTATGAAAGATTTCTTTTCAGAAATAATGCAGTGATTAGTTGAATATTTTTTCAGGGTGATTACAAAATTGCAGTCTCCTAGAGGGGCTCATAGAGAGTCAGAGACGTGCTACTGAGTACAGTCAGTGGCATGAAGCTCAAACTGAGATACGCTTTGAAAATCAAGGCGATGATAACGAGTAAAATTATTTCTTCTACGTTTGGAATAAATAAAAACAACTGGTCACTCAAGACACTTTAATGAACCATGTTGAGTATCCTGTGAGAAATTAAATATAATATATATTTGCTGCATTAAATGTATGACAGATAATTATGTAGATCACTTTGAGACACTGCCTTTCAGTGCAGCCTACACTTGAACAGGTATTATCTTTCAATAACAGACCAGCAATCCTGGATTCAGGATCCTGAATCTATGTGAAAGCCTTTTATCATCATCTCAGCATCTGAAAGCACACTCAGTATACAGAAATCCCTGAAAACCACTAGCTGCAATACTTACTGAGCTGACCATGCACAATGAAGTATTTGAAAAGTGCCTTTCATCAGTACCTGTTTGAGTCTCTTGACCTCATGCTCTAGCTCCACCTCCCTGGTCCTGCTGTTGAAGTCCGCCAGGCTGGAGGAGGAGGTGCGGCTGCGGCCAGGCCTTTCTGTCTCCAGCTTGAACAGCTGCAAATGTTCCAGCTCTCGACGCAGGTCTTCTATCAGCTACACAAAAGATAAAGGACGAATTAACAATGTTATATAATGTCAATGCAGTTTTTTTGTAGGTGTATGAGATGACATAACTGCAGTGAGACAGTGAGAAGAGTAAGACAGGAAATAAAGTGAGCAGTGAAACAAACAAACCACCTTGCTTAATGTGTGTGTGTGCGTGAGTGTGTGTCTGATTGCATAAAATAATCCCACCCACCTCCTGCATGGCTTCTTTCTCTTTTTGGAACTGGAGTCTATTCTGTCTCAGTTTGTCCATCATTTTCCTGTAGAGGTCCATCTCATCCTTCAGACGCAGACTGGTGTCCTCCAACTTGTCTGTCATTCTTTGCTTCTCCTGTGGATGGACACATACACACACAATTATGGTTTGAAATATGTTTTGCTTTATCTGTGTTTCAGTTATTTCTATTCCATTTACAGACTCTTTTGGATATATATGGGGCTGCTGTGGCTCAGGAGGTAGAGCAGGTCATCCACTAATCAAGTGGGTGATTCCATCCCCCACCTCTTCCAGTCCGCATGTCCAAGTGTCCATGGGCAAGATATTGAACCCCAAATTTCCCCTGATGGCTGTTCCATCAGTGTACGAGTGTGTGTATGGGTGTGATGTTTGAATGTGTGAGTGAAAGGGTGAATGTGGTAAGTATTGCTAAACACTTTGAGCGGTTGATAAGACTAGAAAAGTGCTGTACAAGTGCAGTCCATTTATCATTTACCATACTATTAAACCACACTGGTTTTCGGTATCAGAGATTTTCAGAGTGCATTCATTCGAGAAAATTCCATATACAAGCAAGTTTTCTATTTTCTGTCACACCTTTGGTTGTACATTCAACAACATGCAGAGTTGACAACTGTCAGGTTTGGTGCCATTTACATTTACTGTCTCAAAATAGAGGTGTGGTTCAACACCAAGCGAATGTCTCTAACATCTCATCCTGTAAAATATACTGTAAGAAATACAGTTCCTCATAATCTGTGTCTGTGTGTGTGTGTGTGTGTCTGTGTGTGTGTGTGTGTGCGCGCACATGGTGAATGACATCTGACTATTAAGAAAACTGACAACTGTGAATATGGAAATTACTGAGACCTTGCATGTTAGAAAGAGAAACAGGCAGCTAACTGGAGAGTTGCTCCCGATACAAATGCAAAAGTAAAGACGATAAAGAAAAGATGAACAACATAAAAGAATGTGGCTTACCTCATCCAGTTTCTCTGTCTGTGACTTGAGTCGGCACATGTTAAGAGTCATCTCATTGTTCTCGTCCTCCAATTGCTTAACTCTAAGAACACAAAATCCGGTATGTCAGTGTGCTTTTATAAAGAAAATGAGTGTGTTTCATAGTCATCTAAGGCACTGTTTTAGGCAAACAACCACAGTACATGCTGCAGCTCCAGATGCAGCTGACAAACCCCAGGAGGGATATCTGAGCTCTGTTTAGCATACGGTTATACATTCTGTATTTTCTCTTAACAAGCAGGCATGTCCATATCCAGGGGATTTATGAGCAACGCTACCTTATCTAATTCTACCATATTAAAAAAATGTATTCTCACTAATACAACACTGATGCATTCAGATACAAAGAAAACTTGTGTCTCACCGGTTGGTCAGCAGCTCTGTCTGTGTGGTCATGTCTCTCTCCATCTTGCTGTAGGCCTCTCGATGTCGTCTTAGCCCTTCCTGCAGATTTTGTTCTGCTCGTGTCTCCTGGTCTTTCAGCTGCTCCTCCAGCTCATGAACCCTGTGATGATGAACATGTCACACAAATTCAATCCACTGGAGTTGAGTATGAAGACCAAATTACTGCTACACTCAGTTGCATTATGCCTGCAAGATTAGTTGTTGGGGGAGGGGAGGGGCGGACTCTTCTTTCAACAATGAGAAGTAATGGAGAATGATTTGTATGATACAGTTCTGACTTATTTGTTCTAAAATAAATGTTATGCATTTCTGAAACGCAGCTTTCTGACTGTACCTGTGTACTAGTTGTGTGTTGTCCTGCTTCAGCCTGGACTTGAGTTCACTGCTCGTCAGAATCTCATTCTCCAGTTCTGCCACCTTCTTCTCCAGAAAACTCACCTGATGGAAACAGAGACAGCTCTTTGAAAGCTGAATTAACACTATAAGCATAATCAAATTTAATAATTATATTCAGGGATTTAAAATGATGAATGCTCGGGGTCCCTCAATGGCTTAGGGGTCACGGAGCTATATGGAGCTTTATGGAGCTTTATGGAGCAATATTTTAGATAATTTAACCAACTGTGCAATTTACAAGGTTTTGAAGGTTTGAAAAGTATAAACAATATTCATATATTCCTTTATTTTGCAGACGTAAGAGGAATCCTCTCAGAGATCATGTAAATTAGCATTCTCAGCTTAAGCTGTGCATCCATCAGGAACATGTCCTCAGTCTCTGTGATTTTAGTGCTAACAGTGCAAAAAAAAAAAAAAAAAAAAAAAAAGCTGAAGGTGAGATGTTTATTCTTTTATGGGTTTTCAGTAGTCACACAGAAACAGCAAGAGCTAGTACTTCCCATGGGCATTTATTTGGTGCTTAAAAGAACTTAGTTAAATAAAGGTCACAGATTGACACAGATCAACATATGGTCAAACAAGCTGTACACACACAAAGGACACAAACATATTCATACCTTTTCATTGATGTCGATGTCACAGGAGTCGATGCTGTCTCGGAAAAGGTCCTCCGTACTGCCGTTACTGCTGCTCAAGTTGCTGTTGTGGAGCAGCTGCCTGCTCAAACACAGAGGGACACACAAACTTCAGAGGAAGCACCAGATGAGAATAGATCCAGGTGAGGACCAGCTAGTTCTTAGTGTGTGTGTGTGTGTGTGTGTGTGTGTGTGTGTGTGTGTGTGTGTGTGTGTGTGTGTGTGTGTGTGTGTGTGTGAGACTGAACGTAAGTGTGCTCTGCCCTGCAGTGATTCTACTGCAAGATAGATGATATAGGACAGTGCCAAGAAGAGTAGCTGACAAACAGAATTAAAATTAGTACACACAAAGGCACACACAGAAACACCCACATACACACACACACACACACACACACACACACACACACACACACACACACACAGGTCTGTGTATATCTGACTGTGTCAAGTGTGACATCCATGCCAAGATGTGACTACAGCTGCCTCCCTTATCACTGATGGAATTATTTGAGAGAACATCAAGCTTCTGCTCCATTACTGAGATTAGTAATATGGAGAGGAGAGGAGAGGAGAGGAGAGGAGAGAGGAGAGGAGAGAGGAGACGAGAGGAGACGAGAGAGGCAACACAAAGGAGAAAGAGCAGAAGAACAGATAAAGAGAGCAATAAAGTGAAAGACATAATCAAAGCAGACAGAGAGGACAGTAGAAGGAACAGGGAGAGAGAGCCAAACCTTATATTGAATACATAGATCAGGTCTGACAGGCCATTTTCACTCTGTCACTATAACTCAGTTACTGTGGGTGGAAGTAGGACAAAAGCCTAGATACAAAACATCTCAGCCAGTACAGACCAACAGGCCATGAAGTGTCTGCCCCTGAAAACCTGATGTCCAGACTCTTTTCTTCAGCCCCGGAACAAAAACAAAAGATTTTACAGCATGCCTGGTTACAGATCAGATTAATTTCATCAAGACATCCTGTGTTTTCTCTGACTAAACTAGTTAGTAATTAACCGGCTGTTAGAGCACAATGGTCGGGCAGCTGAGTGATAAGGAAGCAGTGACTGCTAATCTCACTGTGTGTGTGTGTGTGTGTCTGTGTCAACAAATACACCAAACACGTGCAGCACAGACTGTATAATGCATAAACACAAAGATTACAAGACGTGAATGACCTTCTTTTTAGACAAACACAGAAGCGCACGCACACACACACACACACACACACACACACACACACACACACACACACACACACACACACACACACACACACACACACACACACACACGTAAGTGGCCTACCTTCCGAAAGCAGTGCTGGAGATTTTCCTGTTGGGGCTACAAAGGGAAAAACAAAATGACAGACATTTGTTTTTACAGTGAATTGCCATTGATATGTCTAGACTCACAGCTCAACAGTACACTGGAAATAACTGCTGATGGCAATTAAGATTCTGGCTATTCAGTTTGACAGTGCGATACATTGGAGACAGATAGAGAAAAGAAACACTGAAGGACATTGTCAATGTTAATACAATTTCACTGCTGGTTCAGTGAGCAGGGGTTTATGTTTGCTCAGCAACTGTCTCAGGGGGACAAAAACTCAAGAATACTCTCAGTTTGATGCTCAGATGCTCTGTGCTGAGTTTCGCTTTGGATTAACAAAACTGAGCAAACATAGTGTTGGGTCATACAAATGTCAGTTGATGTAGACAGAAAACTGATATCATCTACTCTTGTTGAAATACTACAATGATCATGATCACATCCACGTGAATTGGCTTTGTGCGTGTTTCTGACTGTGTTGTGTCGATCCAAATTTGTTAGTTCCTAATGATTATGATGTGTGTAGTTGATCATGTCATGTACTTATCTGGCTACTTAACTAGAATTACTGCCTCGCAGTTGTATGCCTCTGCCAACCACTCACATTGCAGGAAATATGATAACAATCTCTCCTCCTGTTCCTGAGTTACAGCTCTGAATAATGACCAGGAGTGTTTTTGCAGAACATTATGATGTCACAGTGAAGTTGACCTTTAACCATTTGAATATAAGATGTCATCACTTCATCATTTTATTCTATTAGACATTTGTGTTGAACTGTGTCATAGTTAGAATATGAATTCTTGAGTTATGGCCAAAAACATGTTTTTGACCTTTAACACCTTTGACCACCAAATTCCGATCAGTTCATCCTTGAGTGCAAGTGAATGTTTGGGCCAAATTTGAAGAAATTCCCCCAAGGCGTTACTAAAATATCGCGTTCATGAGAATTCGGATGGACGGACAAGACAACCTGAAAACATAATGCATGGAGGCATAAAAAGCAAAAGCACGTACAAGATTTTCTCACATTCACACATTCAGCTAAACTCTGCTAAGTCAAGCAAACTGTGAAGGAGCTCAAAATTTCATTTTATTTTTCAAGGAATTTCAGGATGAAACAATATCAAGAGGTTTCACAAAGAAATAACTGTCAGGGAAAAGGCTGATCTTCCAGGAGGAGACTCTGCATTTAGATGAAGCAAAGTTTTACTAGTGTATAAATCTAAGTAACAAAATGTTTTGAAGAGGTCTAAGAGAGATTAAAGAATTAGTTCCAGTGGAATTTACTTTAAATCTCTGACCTTTTGGCTTTTGTCTGTGATCAGCACAAACCCTCCACATTTTTTATTGAACAACAAAATAAACTTATTGAAGAGTTTTAACTTTTAATTTCACTCATTTAGTGATTTTACTTGGTTGGAATCATGAGCTGTGCATCTTCAAAGCTGTGCTACAAATCTTTTAACGTCTCTGGTGCCATTGTTACCACTGAGCAGTTGCACGTAAACACACAGGAGCTTCCAAACGTTAATACACAGGACACAACACACAACTCACATACATACATATATATACACAACACGCAGAATATTTCACGTGAATGAACTGTATGGTCTTGGGTATGAAATATTTTGGCCTAAAATTGACTAATTCCCCGTGGCTATTACTCATGCTTCAATGAGGGCAATTTAATTAAGCTAAATGGTATAAATAAGTTTGACAAGTGATCCATTAAATACTCGATGCTGCTTAGTGGCAAAAGCACTTTCCTTTGTCCATTCTGAATTCATTTTGTCTTGCCTGAAATCCTTCACTCTTTGGATTAATCTCAGAAGTGTCATGTTTCATTTGTCAGACATTTTCACATGTGTTCACAGGACCTGCGATGTATTTACCCTCCCTTTTCAAAATCCATTCCCAGCACCATCTGATTCACTTCCTATGTGCTCACAAAGTAAATTTTGCACCTTGCACATTTACACCTCACTCACTCTCATATTCTTGCTCTTTCCACTCTAACTCTCTCTTTGTTCCTATCTCTACTTCAAACTTCACGGGAAAGTATAGGTCTGATTGGGAGAGCCATGTTGGATTATAAAACCATTTCTCTCCAGGGAGAAATCCTGCAGAGTCAGCAGAGAGTAACAAAGAGAAATGGTGACTTCACAGTGCACACTATATTCAAAAACATTATCTACAAAATGTATTGTTCTCAACTGATCCTGTGCCTGCACTGGTAAGTGTGTGCACTTGTGTTTGCAGGTAGACTGTACAGCTATTAATGGTCACCTAGGATTATGTTTCTAATAATAGTTTCCCTATTACAGTGGTGTGAGGTAAGCATGGGAGTGACAGTCTTATATAACAATCAATTAGTCTTTGTGTATGTGTTTGTGTGAATGATAATGATGATGATGTGTTTGTACATGAGGAACAGAAGGAGGAACACTTTACACCTCCCTGCCAATATTACATAATTCTTATTAAATCATACTAAACAAAAAGCCCTAAAAAAAGTAACCCCTGAGTCACCCTCAGCGGCCAAATGTGAGTGAACCAATGCACATCAAATTACTCTGTGTGTATACTTCACACATAGCAGCTAACAATGTTTGTTTCTGTCTCAGTGAAAAACAGCATGGTGTATAGTCTCTGTCATGTATAATTATGTTATTGTCTTTTAATGTACCATGGCTGTGTCTAAAATGACCTGCCAGGGTAATTAATGCAAATTTTTCACAGAAATATGTCACCCTACCCTTTTTTTTTTTTAATTAGAGGCTTTTGTTTACGGAATCAGGTGATGTGTGGCTGCTGCAGTTTAATTCACCATGTGGAATTGCCATCAGGTTTAGTTTAAATAAAACTGGAGGGAAGAACTGCAGTCAACAAATACATGCTGGTGATTTGACTTGACGGGCTAACAGTCAAAAGTATGGTGGTCAGCGGGAAAGGTTTGAGGACAGGAAAGGGCTAAAAGACTGCACAAACATTTCAACATTTCTCGGCCCCACAGAGTGACTCCTTATTGAAGCTGTACTGGGATTTGGTGGGTGTAGGTCTTGTGTAATGTTGTGCTATGTGTTTGTGCATGCGAGTGTGTCCTACCTGTTGGCCTTGAGGTTTTTGAGGCGGGCCTCCAGGTCATTTAGCAGGTTGACCTTTTTGCTACACTGAGAACAGTAGACATCCATCAGTTCACCAGTGTAATGCTGACGCACCTTACGAGGAGTTTGGCCTGCACTGTTAACACACACAGACACTCACAGTTTTCATCTGCTATTGAAAACACTTGGAAGAAGTCATTTGAAATTGAACTGGCTTTGATTACATGTGCTCGTGAGATTACTGAGACACCATTTCAGTGTATAAAACCATGTTGTCGGTGCCAAGACACCTTGAAATCTGCAAGCCACTAAGTAACAGAAATAAAAATTAAACTCTAACAGAAAAAGAGAGAGGGAGAGATGTCAAAGACAACTCCTTTAGGATCTTAGTATTAGCACTTGGAATTAATATTTTACTCCAGAAATATAACCGTGTGTAGTTTAGTCGGCATTTAAGTCAGGACATCAAAACTATGACCTCATTTTCAGATCTGTTGCCAAAATAAACAAAAGCCACAATACATTATCACTATCAAAGTTTTACAAGCACTCCCTGATTTTGTTACAGTTTCCAGTAACTCTCCCAAATCCCATCATTTCCTCCTAGAACACTGTTTACGCTTAAGTGAACACAGCTCACAGCTGAGTTTAAGAATCTCAACTTTTAAACTGATGACTTGGGAGGAATTTTTTTGTTTGGGGGCACTACATCAAAATTAGCAAGTGTACCTTTAACCCACTTTGTACTGTGACTTAACTTCTTCCCATGCTGAGTTGTCTAATACTTCTTGTAAATCTGGGCCTCATTTTGAATTTAAATCTCCATGCCAACTCCATTTGGAGAGTTTTGTCTGCTTGGTATGCGTGGAAGGAGCATGGAGCTGTATTGCCAGTCTATCAGCCGAGAGACTTAATCCCATTAAATACAGGCCTTTGATGAATATTAATGTGGCCTTAAGGGCAAGAACTCCTAAGATACACTTCTACAGTCAAGTCTTGGAATAATATGAGTCAGGTAACAATTCTGCAGAGACTCAAGTAAAATATATTTAACAGAGTTTAAGCTCCAGAAACTGGTCTGTGTTTTACATTTTGCTTTATCATGACTTTACCTTTGAGAAATAGCACACATGCCTACACAAACACATAACAGAAATGTAATTATCTGCACATTGTAGCACAGTGGTTCCCAACCTTTAGTCCAGGAAACATTTGCTATAGGGCTACGAGGAAATATAATTCAGAAAGAAGACAGATAAAAGCTGCATAGTAATTAGATACATTCATAGGCTAATTAAGGCTATTTGTGTTATAATTACTGTCTGTCTGTACTCCGTTTTTTCCAAATCACAACATGTCGCATATCTTTGAACAATGGCAGTCAGTGAATAGGGTTATCAATCTGTGATTATTCACTTGGCTACTGTATGTGCAGAGTATGAGAGAGTCTGATACAACTTCAGAGTTTCTTTGGAGAAGATAGGGCAGAATCCTAATGTGCATGCCTTCATATCCAAATGACTTTTATTGTGGTCATAACAGATAAAGCAGACACAAATATTGTCAATAAAATACACAAAAAATGTCCTTTTACTCCAGAACCATACTAATATGCATAAATAAACTCTCTCTTATTCTCTCTTACCTAGACGGAACAGATGAGCCAAGGTCAGAGTATCCGTTGGTACGAGTCTCGTCGTCTGGACAGGGACTACTGAGAGTATAGTCTGGTTCGTCCCCCTCCCCGTAGTCCTCAAACTGCTCCTCGTTCAGAGAAGCCGAGGAACGTGTCGATAGGTCAGAGGTCACTGAGATGCTAGTATGACCACACCTGAGGAAAAAGAGGGAGAAGTTGGTATCACTCACACTGTATTCAATATCTTCATTTTTGGGGGTCAAATAAAAACAAAGGCACTGCTTAAGACATGGCAGAAGTAAATCAAGACTCTGATCTGAAATGAATGATGATGCATGATTACAAAAATACCCCTGTATCTAAATATCACATTTTTATTTGACTTTAGAAGAGAATATCTTGGAGACTGACACATGTAATAGCACAGCACAAAGAACACAGGAACAAAGAGCACCTTCTGATCTGGAGTCAGTGAGACAGAGAGGAAAATATAGAGCAGTGCTTACTTCTCCCCAGGGAAAAAGAGATCTCCCAGTGCGTCTTCCTTGTCGCCCGGTCTGATCAGCCCGTCGGAGGTGTCTGACCCTTGGGTGCTTTCCACAGCACTGTCTCTGTCTGATTCCCTCTCCCTGCCCTCGTCTGCCACCTCCTCCTCAGGCTCCTCCACCTCTCCCGGGAACAGCTGGCACTCAGGGACGGGGTCAGGATAGGCCCGCGTGCACATGATGACCGGACAAACCCGGTCCTCCTCACCACTCTGGAGAAAGACCGCGAGAAACGCAAGAAGAGAGAGGGGAACAAAAGGAGAGAAGGAGAGTTTATGAGTAAGTTCACAAAAAAATTATAAACACTGATCTGTAACAACAGAAACATGTATGAGCTTGAACATGGCTGTTTTTGTTACCACAGTGATGTTGCCAGGATTCCTCTTAGTGAAAACCGTGTAACCAGGAATTGCTCTTTTCTTATAGCAATTTTAAAACATTTATAATATTTCACAGAATTATGTTCATAAATCCACTTAATTTAAAAATTGGCTCCTTATAACCTCAGATCTTGTGTCACAGTTATAATTATCAAATGTTTTCTCAGTATCACAAGTAATCCAGTGATTGCTGTCTTTAAACCCATAGTATCCATCCAAATGTAAAGAAATGTAAAGCAATGTAAAGAAACACAGGCTAATACAGGCCTCTGAACCATGACACTGAATGAAGCCAAAATATTTTACAGTTAACTAAGTAGCTCATTCATTATCTCCAAAGCACCTGTGAACATACAGGCAAATAACCCAAATCATTTCAAATTGTATCCCAGAAGATGTATGGTACAACTGACATGCAAAATGAAATGATGGCATTTGATAGGATCTTAATCTAACCTGAAAATAACAATACATTACAAGCAAAGACATGCTGTGACTGTGTAAATGAAAAGAAAAGAAAAACTAAGCAAAAACAGCCAAAGGGGTTTTTAAACCTTTGAGGTTTGGGAGAGCTTTTCAAAAATCAAAGTTGCTCCAGGTAACGTGGTTAACACTTGTGGATTCTGTTTTAGGGTGGATTTCTCATTTTGTGAATTCCTTCACGGTGGGAATGGTCTTAAGTTCACACTGGGGGGCTGGAGAGCTACAGGGGTGAAAGGGCAACTGGTCATAGGTCACAGGTCCCGCTCCATCTAGTTTCACTCTTTTAGCAGCTGAACTCTAATGCAACAGAGAACAAGGACTTATCTCAGCATGACTGAACAACTGAAACACAGAGCACAGTGAAGGAGGGGGGCAGGTGACCACAAAATCAGAGAGACGAGAGAGAGAGAGAGAATGATGAGTGATATGTTGAGTAACAGTGAGTAACAGATAGGTGGAGAGGGAGAGAAATAGACCAGGATCAAGCTATGGCTGTACAGCAGGTAGGAGAGGAAGAATGAGTGTGGAAAAGAAGACTACAGCTAACAAGTGATGAGACGAAAGAGCGAACACAGCCAAGAAAAGAAAAGGAAAAATGAAAATGAAGAAAAAAAAGACGTAGGTGAGGCAGAGAGATAGCAATGCAGCTTGAGGACAGTCAGGTAATTATTGGACATTACAAGCATTACATTGAAAGATTTCAGCAACTACAATTCACTCCCTCACACACACACACACACACACACCCCACCCTTTCTTCTTTTTAAACTCAATTGATCTAGATGTCTTAGCTGCACAACGGATATTCAATCCCATTCCAGGGTGTAACACAAAGCTATTTGTATGTATTCGGATTTATGCTGGAGGTGAACAGGGACTTTCATCAAAAGTTGTCAGAACGTAAAGCTAAAAAGTCAAATAACTAAAAAAATTATGATTTGTATTTGAACTCTACCTACAAAATAATAATAATAATGACAATAAAAATGAATAAATATATACATTAATTAATCTAAACTGATTTACAAAGTGGAAATAGAGCAGATGTGTTTAATGCTCAGAAAATGCAAGTCAAAATTGCAATGGGCCACATGAATTGTTTATATAATGTGAGGAGTCGTATAAGAATGCAAAGTTGTTGAAAATAAATAAGTAAATAAATAAATAAAGGAATTTATTGATAAAAATCTAAAAAGCTTTCTCTGCCATTTTGCATGCACATATGTTAGAGATGGTTTCTAACTTGCAAATTTTACTGCAAGGAAATTGGAACGCTTTGAACGATCATATCGGTTGAAAGCCCATTATCTGTTCATATCTGAATAATACATTTGTATTAGCAATATATACACACACACACACACACACACACACACACACACACACACACACACACACACACCAAAGTGCATGCTTACATACAACTAAATCAAAAAGTAGCTATTCAACATATTAACGGAGGATCTGCACTTTTACAAACAGCCAACATGGGGTCTGAGGCTGAGTAACAGAGGGGAAAAAATGACAGGTAAAGGTCTCTTTAGCATTCTTTAGACCAGTCTCTTTTCCCTTCAGCAGAAAAAGAAACACAGTGTGTGGCAAAGAAATAAGCATCCCGCCTCTGTACTCCACCACAACAATCCAGAAACTTGACCAAACTAACACAGTGGGCGGCTTGATACGCAGCTTGTTGCGCTTACTGTAAGAATGAGAGAAGAGGAGGTTTTTTCGTATGTAGTCCTAGCTCACATAATATAAGTATAAACAAACAATGTTAGAAAAAGTCAAAATGCAGTATGAAATAATTCCCTAATATTGTGACTATGTTACATGATCTGGAAATGTTTACTTCATTGGGAGAGTCGGCTAACAGCTGTTGAAGTGATGATATTGAGCAATAACAAAATAACATTACAATACAATTAAGGTTAAAACTCTAACTGTAGTAAGTTATTAATACTTTCATTCTCATTAACTACATATACTCTCTCTACATTGTGTTTGTGCAACACTGGTACAATACACCTACTGAAGGCTATATATAATTACACTGCTCTTTCCAAAGTATTTGAAAAAGCTTTATTTTCCTCTGTTCAGGTGAATGTGTGCCAGCATCACTATTATTATTATTATTATTATATTATATATAGTATTCTTGTAGAAAAATAGAAACAATACATGCTGAGCAGTCAAGTACCAGTTTGCACATGTGCATTTAAGCTGCCAATTAATCCTTTCCTTGTTTCAGGCAAAGACATTGATGGACAGCAACAAATAACAGAGTGAGAGTGAGAGACAGAGACAGAGAGAGACAGAGAGAGAGAGAGAGAGAGAGAGAGACAGAGAGAGACAGAGACAGAGAGAGAGAGAGAGAGAGAGAGAGAGAGAGAGAGAGAGAGAGTGTGTGTGTGTTTACAGTATGCCTCTCTCTGTACCCGCCTGCTCCAGAACAGCCCAGGGGGTGTAACTGCCAAAACATGAGCCTACAGAGTGTTTGGAGTTGCTTGATTCCCCCGAGCACAAACACAGCTAGCCTGCCAAGCAGCGTCCAACCTGCCAGTGGCTTTGAACCGAGGACGCTGAAATCTGCTTTGCTTTTAACTGCAGTGGTGCTGCTTGAAGCCTGACGCGCCTTCACATCCGCTTTAGCCAAAGGAGGATTTCTATCGCCGTGAAATGTTTGCTTGGGACAAATCAGTGTGTACTGGAGTGCTTTCTTTGCAGGCTCAAATTTTCACATATCAACATCATTTTTCAAAATACAACGAACCCATGCTCACTTCAGTTAGGAAATACAAAAACTAATACCCAAGTAAAAAATTCTATAACCTTCTGAATCTTATTTAATGCTTATGATGCCTTGTAGAAATTTTTGGTATAAATTATGACTATATTTTTCACAGAACTGAAAGATCATCTACCACATTTTGTGCCTCATGTCCACAGATTGCCTTTCTCAGATGTTAAAGATACAAATACCATGCAGCTTTATATTATTACTCTGCACAGCATGCGCTGTTCTACATATTATTTCATACTTTATATACGACTACTTTAGATAAAATAGGATTGAAAAAGATTTTGAGATCTCTCTGTGAGTCTGTTGCTGCAGGGTCTGACCTAGTTAAAATGCAGACATCCTATCATTCCTTTTCTGTTCTTCTTCCCGCTCTCCCAGGTGAGACCAATGTCAGAGAAGGAAAGATGGAGAGATGAAGACAAAGAAGAAAATTCAGTCTCCTTTTCTGAGATGAGAGATTCAGGTTGAGCGAACAGACCTTTGCTCTGTGTTTTTGGTCAATATGAGTCTGGTTATGTGTTATTTTAATATGACAATGTGAATGTGTATACAGCATGAACTGTACGTGAACTACTGCTAGCCATAAGTGTGCGTATATGTGTGAATGCTTTCTTTGTCCAGGTACTGTACTGTGTTACTGAATTACCCACATGTCAGATTTATTACATGTCATTTATTACATGTCATGTATGGCTGAATAAGCATGTTTACTCTGTAAACTCTCCCAGGAAAAATACAGGTCAGACACCTGAAGTCAGACACAAAGCTTGGTTGTGCAGCATGAATAGTTATGTATGAGACACACTAACACAGCCAGGCTCTAGGGGAACAATGTATTATTTAATCCAGAGCAGCTGCAATAGAAATGTAAGAAGTGAGAAGAAAAGAGATAAAGGGACAGAACATCAAGAGTGGAGGACACTTTGGGGACACTTCTGGACAGCTGAAGAGAGCGAGAGAGAGACATGTCAAGTGGAGAGAAAGAGATAAAAAGAAAAAGAGAGAGACAGGTGGTAGAGTAGAGAAAAGACCAGTGGCAACTGAAACTGCTCTTAGAAAACAACAAGCACTGCTGTATCTATGTGCAACAGACACACTTCAACTTTGGAAATCTTTTTGAAGTGATTAAATCATTTTCCAGTAATTAACTTTCAGTTGAGCTTGGCAATGAAATGTGGAAGTTTATGTGATACGAATGATGACTACCAATCACACCATGGTGACACAGTCCTGAAACTTAAAATACTGCATAATGTGTTAGACATACTACAGTTGTTGAGCAACACTGTGGGAGATTACGGTACAAAAATAGTGAGATGCAAATGATGTCCCTGTGCTACAGTGACTGCTACAATACTGGTTACCAGGGAGGCAAACATACAATATTTTCTTGTTACAAAATAAAATGTGTTTCTGTAAGCGAAAGACTTGAGATAAACTGACAAATGTATTTCCACTTCCCTTATTCACTTGCAATTTTACTTCCTCTGATGTGACCTCCAGCCAATTCAATAACCCATCTGGAACCATGATGCAAATTTCTCATGGA